AAAAAAAAAAAAAAAAAAAAAAAAAGAAGAAGTGCTTAAGAGGCTCACTCCTGTAATCCTAGCATTCTGGGAGGTGGAGGCAGGAGGTTTGCTTGAGCTTGAGAGTTCAAGACCAGGCTGAGCAAAAGTGAGACCCTGTCTGTACTAAAAATAGATAAATTAGCCAGGTATTGTGGAGGCACCTGTAGTCCCAGCTACTCAGGAGGCTGAGGAAGGAAGATTACTTGAGCCCAGGAGTTTGAGGGGGTTGCTGTGAAGTTGACTGAGGCCATGGCACTCCAGCCTGGGTAATAGAGCAAGACTGTCTCAAAAACAAAACCAAAAAATTCCAAAAAAAAACAAAAACAGAAAGGAACTTAAGGACCAAATCAGAGAGATTGATTTCATCCACAGTTCATAGTGGAAGGCTTCATTTGGCTATATCCAATGCACAGATACTGGCTTATGCTTTAGTGCAGTGGGAGAGAGGAGGGAAGCTGATATAGTTTCAATTTATCACCAACATCGAAAAATTAGGAGAGTTCACCCTTTCACCCCCAAAATCTAAAATCCCCAAGCTTTACTTGGGACAAATAAATCAAAAGATCTAACAGAGTGGCCATCCACCTACTTGGGTGCTCCCAATTTGCGGTAGACCCACCACTCCCCATCACTCATCCATGTCCACTACCGTTTGTCGACTCCAACTTACTTTGCATGTGCATTCCTTATCTAACTCTATTAGAGAAGTACAACCAGAAATTATGACTTTGGTTAGTGGATTTTTTTTTTTTTTTTGAGACAGAACCTCAAGCTGTCACCCTGGGTAGAGTGTTGTGACATCACAGCTCATAGCAACATCCAACTCCTGGGCTCAAGCAATTCTCCTGCCTTTGCCTCCCAAGTAGCTGGGACTACAGGCGCCCACCACAATGCCTGGCTATTTTTCGGTTGCAGCCATCATTGTTGTTTGGCAGGCCCGGGCTGGATTTGAACCCGCCAGCTCAGGTGTATGTGGCCAGCGCCTTAGCAGCTTGAGCCACAGGCGCCGAGCCTGGTTAGTGGATTTTTAAGTTTTATCCCGTCTCAATCCACAGAATCCTCATAACAAATAAGAGCTTATAGACTCTCATAGCTATTACAGTGCCCTCACCAAGACACCTACAAACCAGGTCAGTGAGGAAAAATAACATTATGTCCCACAAAAGGACAAACTGCCAGTATTTCCAATTAAGTACAGTGAAAGACTAACTTATAACTCTATAAAAACCAAAAGACAATATTTACTGGAAGTCCTTCTGTTCTAGTAACATCACATGAATCACTGAAGCTTCCAAGCATTTTCCCTTCTTTCCTCTCCAGTTCTATTTTTAAGGGTATAGCTGGCCAAAAGTCATTCTGAAAATATTAAGGGCTACACTTTGATTGTTATATGTGTAACAGCCCAGACAGCATGGAGACTTTTGTTTGATGACCGCCATCAATATAGTCCAAAATAATTAAAAATTTGTTATACTTGGCTACAGGTATTAACGAATTAAACCAACTTCAAAGCTGAGAAACACACTTCCTTCAATAACTCAGATTTCTTCATTTCTCTACCTCATAAATAGTACCAAATGAACTAGTTACGGTTTGAGGGAGTCTCCTTTCCAAACACATCCACAGCAAAATTTACTAAAAACAGGCAGAACTCTAGAGTGAGTCACCAAATACACAACTTTCCACATTGCAGAAAAAGATGGACTTGTCTGGGATTGAAAAATCAAAAATGAGGCTTGGTGCCCACAACATGTTGGTTATGGCACCAGCCACATACAACAAAGTCGGTGGGTTCGAAACTAGCCCAGAACCCAGCTAACCGACAATGAGAACTGCAACAAGAAAATAGCCAAGCATTGTGGTGAGGGATATAGTCCCAGCTACTTGGGAAGCTAAGGCAAGAGAATCACTTGAGCCCAAGAGTTTGAGGTTGCTGTGAGCTGTGACACCATGGCACTATGGAGGGTGACACCGTGAGATTCAGTTTCCAAAAAAATAGAAAGAAAAATCAAAAATGAGAAAATACAGGCAAGTTCACAAGATTCCAAGCAAATAAAAATGATAATAATACCAAGAAATTTCACATTGCATTAGGAACTCAAGTTCCCCTTGATTTTATATTTTGTACGTAGTTTTTAACTAAAGGCAAGAGTTGCACATGTGCTATCTTTCTCCCACATATAAATCAAGAGACAAAAAGCGGCACCTCGGTGTAAGTAATGTCACAGGGTGCTTCTTCCTTCTTTAGCTGGTCTGGAGTCTTACAGTCAGGAATGAAAAGCAACATGTTGGAGGTGTCCGCTATTTTCAAGTCATAGGTTTTGTCTTTACTGCACAGTACAGCTTGCTCGTCCTTATCACCACGAATCACAAGACTGCAGGAAAATGGGGGAAAAAAACATTCGGTTTATTGAGAATCCAGGGGACAGCTTCAGTATAACAATTCAAAAACTGTCTTGAGGCGGTGCCCGTAGCTCAGTGAGTAGGGTGCCAGCCACATACACCGAGGTTGGCAGGTTTGATCCTGGCCAGAGCCTGCTAAACAACAATGACAACTGCAACAAAAAATAGCTGGGCATTGTGGCGGGCACCTATAGTCCCAGCTACTTGGGAGGCTGAGGCAAGAGAATCACTTAAGCATAGGTGTTTGAGGTTGCTGTGGGCTATAATGCCATGGTACTCTACCCAGGGTGACAGCTTGAGACTTTGTCTCTAAAAAAAAATAAATCTTCAAAAATTTTCTTGAAATTTATTTTTTTATATCTTATTTTTGAGACAAAGTCTCACTCTGTGGTCCTGGGTAGAGTGCCATGATGATATCAACCTCAAACTACTGGGTTTGGATGAACCTCTTGCCTCAAGAATAACTGGGACTACAGGCACTCACTGCCTGGCTAGTTTTTCTATTATTAGTAGATTTGGGCTCTCACTTTTGCTCAGGCTAGTCTTGAACTTCTGAGCTCAGGCCAGCCACCTGCCTCGGCCTCCCAAAGTGCTAGGATTACAGGTATGAACCACTGCACTCGGCCAATGCTCTAGAATTTAACATTAAGTCTCAATGCTGGCTCAGTGCCGTGGCTCAAGTGGCTAAGGCACCAGCCACATACACCTAAGGTGGCGGGTTCAAATCCAGCCCAGGCCGCCATACAACAATGACGGCTGCAACCAAAAAACAGCCTGGCATTCTGGCAAGCATCTGTGGTCCCAGCTACTTGGGAAGCTGGGGCAGGAGACTCGCTTGAGCCCAGGAGTGGGAGGTTGCTGTGAGCTGCAATGCCACAGCACTCTACCAGGGGGACAGCTTGAGGCTCTGTCTTAAAAAAAAAAAAAAAAAAGTCTCAATGCTGTGTCTGGCCCCTGTGGAACACTGATGGATTCCACAGAGCAAGTACTGGGCGGAGTGGAGCCTCACTAAGATTAAACACAGGCAAGTCAGATCCAAAGAGGCCAACAGGCCAAATGTCACCTCGTGGCATCTCTGCACAAACTGTGGGGAAGAGCAGAAAACAAAGCATTTGGAAACTTTACTCAAGATATCATGATTCTCTAAAACATGTTAAAGTGGTACTTCTCAAATTTAGGGAATCTTTTTAAAAAGCAGATTGGGATTCAGTCGGTCTGAGATAGGATTCTGCATTTCTAATAAGCTCCCCAAATATGGCCATGAAGCTGCTGCTGGTAACACCCCCAAGAGGGGTCCTCCTTGTTTTTATTCTGAGTGTGCCCTAACAATCAAAAGAGCAGTCCTGGCCTAGTTATCAACTATGTTGTAAAGAAACCCAGATCTTGTGGGGAAAAAGGGTAAAGCCTGAATGAAAACACAAAAGGGAGATGTTTAGGAGCTGAACTAAACAGAAGACGCTGACAAAGCAGTTTCTCACAGTGGCAGGAAAGCAAGAAGGGAGAGGAGATGGAAGGTGAGGGGGAGGGGAAAGCTAAAGACACAGGTGACAGGGCGAGGCTGCAGCAGATTTCCTAGTCTGTAAAGCAGTAAGCCCCCTGTGCACAATACATTCCCTTTAAATAAATGATAAAAAACCTGAAATAGAAGATTGCCTCTATTTAGGTAAAAATAATAATAATTTTTTTAGATTCTTGGTGCCAATACTGTTTAATGGGCTTACAAACCTGTTCTTTAAGATTTGTTTCTAATTGCACTATCTCTGTTTCCCAAAATTTTGTTTTTATACCTCCCCTCCCCAAATTCAAAACACGTTTTCAGGTTCTTCTTGTTTTTTTGCCAACTAGATGAACTATTAACTGGACAAAGGTCCTCACCCCTGACTTCCTCTGAAATCCTCCCAACTCAGCTGAGATGAACACAGATGAGGGAAGAACTCAGTTCCCTAACACTTTGAGGAGAGTATCTGAAGACTGGCTAGTTAACTCTAACACTGGTTAGTGCGTAAAGTATAAAAGTTGAAAGAACCTAAGTGGTTCAATTAAAAAGAACTTAGGAAAAAATGGCCCGGGTGGTGGCTCGTGCCTGTAATCCTAGCACTCTGGGAGGTCAAGGAAGATGGATTTCTTGAGCTCACCAGTTGAGAGACCAGCCTGAGCCAGAGAGAGAGAGACCCCATCTCTAAAAATAGCCCAGCATTGTGGCAGGCGCCTGTACTCCCAGCTACTTGGGAGGCTGAGGCAAGAGAATATCTTAAGCCCGACAGTTTGAGGTTGCTGTGAGCTGTGACGCCACTGCACTCCACGCAGGATGACAAAGTAAGACTTTGTCTCAAAAATAAAAAAAAAGAGAGAGAGAAATGCCTAATAAAATGTGGGTGTCCTAAGAATGACGCTGCACAAGAGAGTCAAGCCAATGATGCCCCCAAATCCTGATTTGCAAGAGTGGAGATTACAATGTGCAAGCTTGGGGTATAGAAAGAACTATTTAACTATTAACTATAGTTTTTCATCAGTGGTCTTGCAGCAAATTTGTAGCTGACCTAGAATTAGAAACCGCTTCAGATCCCTACTGAGTGACCCCAAACAAGTCTGGTGCATTGGGGGTGATGGTGGTGTTTTTTATTGAGAGGGGAGTGTCTCATCCAATTTAAAGACTTGCTAGTCTGTAACAAGTCTTTAAACTTATTCCCTACACGTCCTATTATCTGCGTAAATATAAATGGAAGGCAAAAAGAACTCTATAAATACAAGATATTGCCATTGTGTTTTAAGGTAGAGTGACAAAAGTGTGGAGTCCCTAGAATCACAAATATGGCTTCAAAACTTTACAGAGTATATCCCGTGCTGTGTGCGCCGACATCTGCCTCCCCGGTCAGCCGGACCAATTCTGTTTATTTCCTCCGTCCGGCTGAGGGGCCGAGAGGGGCCTAGAATCCTCTGAGAGAGGCAGCGCGCTAGGGATCAGGTCACAAGCGCTGTGAAGCCCAGCCACATCGTCGCATCTCTCCGCCCTGTTTTCTCATCCACAGTTTCCCCGAGGAGGACGTCCGCAGGCGGCTGGCACGCGGCAGGGAGCGCGGCGCGTCCTGCCCTCACCTGTGTCCCTCTTCCAGCTGCTGGCACAGCGCGGGCTCCAGCTCCAGCAGGCAGAAGTCGCCGGCCGCCGCGCCGCTGGCCCCGGGGCCGAAGCGCAGGCAGTGCACGGTGGGCAGCAGCTCGGCCGCGTTCAGCTTGGCGATCTGCAGCGTCGCGTCCACCTCCTCGCGGGTCCTCTTCATCGCGGCGCCGGCTCGGGGGTTCGCAGCGCCTGGGGGTGCCGCGGGTTCGGCTGGCAAGAAGACGACGGCGTCGGAGCCCGGGAGCGCGAAACGTCCACGAAACAGAAAGAGACGTTCCAAAGGCGCGCCAAGGCCGCGGGGGGCGTGTTTCCGGGGCGGGGCGCGCCCTGCGTCCCCGGGAAGATCCAAAAGCTGCTGCGCGCGAGCCGCGCCTCCGCCGAGTCACTGGCGGTGGGGCTCCGACTACTGGAGGGAAACGCGACTTCCCGGGGCCGTCTCCCGGCAGACCTGCGACCAGGCAGGGCGCGACAGAAACCCTCGCCCGCCCCTTCCGCTGCGCTCCCCACCCCGGTCCGGCCCGACCTCCGGCCCTGGTTACCAGCGATGCTCCCATTTTCCTCGCGGTCAATCATCTCATCGTCTGCCAGTGACGGGCCTCTGATAAGCACAAATTTGCCACAACCCTTTAAGGAGTGCCCTTTGTTATCCCGATTTACAAACGAAAAACAGGTTCCTTGGCTGTAGTGGCCCAGCCAGCAGGAGGGTAGCAAAGTCTGATTCCAGCCTAGTCTATTCTGGATCTAAAAGCGTCCTGCGGGGTTCTGTGCAAACAACCCAGGGCCAGGAGCGAAACTCTAGATAGAATCGGATAGGGTATCTCACTTCTTTGGGCCTGGGGACCAGCATATCTAGGACACAGCGGCGTGGAATCGTCCATCCACTTGTAGATTGATTACGTAGTTCCATGTGGCAGATGAGATGTGTCAAGAGGAAAGTAATCTTTATATTTTGCTTCAAAGATTAAGACTTTTTATTGTTGATAACCTGCATGGTTCTGAGCTTCCTTTTGTCCTTAGCGCCTCTGTTCAGAGAACTACTGGGGCGCTGTTGTCCAGCAAAACACTCCAAGGACCACGCATGTTTATAGCAAAACTGTAATTTCCCAAGCCATCTATGGTGATAGATGAAAGTAGAGATGCTTCATAACTTCTTCGCCACTAGTATTTTTCACTTGAGAAGGATTTTTATTTGAGGACAAAATAATATTTTAATGTCCCTCGGCACCGAACTCCTGTCTAAGTGCATTTTCTCTGCCTAGAACTTGGCTGAGCCCCATGAAGGAAGAAAGAGAAAGATGACAGAGGTGCCGTGCTTATTTATACCCCAAGTGGAGAGAGAAGGTGCTCAAGAAAACAAAGAAAATCTAGTGCACACTGTGCCAACACAGGTAATTAGAACATGGTAAGCTCTTCCACTGTATGTGACTCTAATTGAGAAGACAATGCAGAAAGTCAGACGGGTGATCTCAGAGAACTATCATAACCCTCCACCTTTTTTTACAGACAGGGTCTTGTTGGCCACACTTGCCCAGAACTCCTGGGCTCAAGCAGTCGTCTGAGCAGTTGGGACTCCAGGTGTGTCCCATCAGGTCCAGCTCCTCCTTTCTTTTGTGTAATTAGAAAGCACTGGCTGATTATCCAAGCCTGTAGGGGCACATAACTAGTAACATTTATAGCGCTTGCAAAGCTCCTTCACGTTTCTCCTTCCATCCTGTGAAGTAGATGTTGCTATTACATCCTCACCTGAGCCAGCTGAGAGTGGACAGAGTCAGGGCTCTTAGCAGTAAATAGAATGGAGGTGGTGTGAGGCCAGTGTGCATATAGCCTATGGGAAAAGCATAGTGCTCAGTGATCTGTCTCTCTGGAGAGGCAGCATAATGGAGGAACTGCTAGAGTGGCCTCCAAAGCCAGAGTGCTGAGGTTCAAACCTGGGCTCTACTACTGAAGACTTGTCTAGGCCCCCCTGGGCCTAAGGTTCTTCCCATTTTCTGAAAAATGGGAAGAAAAATGGTAGCCAGCTCACCAGGTTATTTGGAGAAATAAATGTCTCACAGGTGTAACACTTCTTGACCATAGTTAGGCACATAGTGAGAGCTCAATAAATGCAGTTTATTAGTATTCCATTTTTTAAAAATCTCAATGCCATATAAATCAATGTCTACTTTAAAAATGATAGATATCAGCCAGGCATGGTGATTCCTGCCTCTGATCCTACACTCTGGTAGGCCAAGGCGGGAGGATTGCTTGTGCTCAGGATTTTGAGACCAGCATGAGCAAAAGTGAGACCCCCCTCTCTACTAAAAATAAAAAAATTAGCCAGATGTTTTGGTGGCCGCAGCAGGAGGATAGCTTCAGCCCAAGAATTTGAAGCTACTGTGAGTTAGCTGTAGCTTGGGCAACAGAGTGAGACTCTGTCTCACAAACAAACAAACCCCATATATTATGTAATTCTCACTTTATTTTCTTGTCATTAAATTCACAGATAGTAAAACTTTGCTGTGTGCATAGTTTTAAAAACATCAAACATCTGGGGGCGGTGCCTGTGGATCAGTGGGTAGGGTGCCGGCCCCATATACCCAGGGTGGCATGTTCAAACCTGGCCACGGCCAAACTACAACAAAAAATAGCTGGGCATTGTGGCAAGCACCTGTAGTCCTGGCTACTGGGGAGTCTGAGGCAAGAGAATCACCTAAGCCCAGGAGTTGGAAGTTGCTGTGAACTGTGACGCCACAGCACTCTACCAAGGGCAACAAAATGAGACTCTGTCTCTAAAAAAAAAAAAAAAAATCAAACATCAATGGGGGAATCTCCTCAATAGGATATAAAAAAGAAAGCTAAAAGGGAAATAATATACAACAAAATAATGTGTATTTCAATATTTAAGTGATTATAATCTAAGGCCTGATGAGGTAGTTGGAGTCAGGTAGGTTACAACTACCTGTAATGAAAATTTTAGGTTAAGGGAATTAAGACACTATTTAGATGAATATTGCCATTAATTCTTTTTTATATATTTGTTATTTCAAACTTTATCTAAATAATATGTTCTTATTCAACACATACATAGAATTACCCTCCATGTAACAGCTACCAAATGCAGACTGAAAAAGTTGTGTTATTTTTGTGGTATGTTTACCCTACAAATGGCAAGTGAAGTAACTTTGTGTGATAATAAGCCTTTCTTGGTAAAGTTCTGAACAGAACCAAAGTACAGTCTTTTCTCTATGTGTGCGATAATTGCATTCCAGACGGTACAGATTACATATTAAAATTGTGCCAAAGATACCTCATAAGAAAAACATTCAGGACTTGGAACGATTCAGTCTTTCTTTGTGACATGCTATCCCCTGAACAAATAAGAATATATAGAATTCCTAGTCCCTGATCACTAAAAGGCAGTAGCACTTCCAATAATATGACATACCACAACCTCCATCCCAAATTTTCCAACAAACCCTTTTGGGGGTGGTCCATTCCCCTTCAGGCCGTCACTATTATTTAGTGTCATTGCAAAAGTAATCACTAGGTGGCAGCATATACCAAGGAATTAGGCAGTGAGACCAGACAATGAAGGTGAAGTCTAGCAAGATTTATGGAGAGGTGAGTAGGGCTGGAACTGAGGGTTGGAACTGATGGAGAAAGAGAATTATGACATATTTTTTTCCATACCTACAAAAATATGAATTAAACATGACAAAAATATTTTCAAAGGGTGTGAATAATGAAGCCAGGGAAATTTTATTTTCTCTATCTTTACATTTATTTATTTACTTATTTATTTTTGAGATAGAGTCTCACTTTGTTGCCCTTGAACCTCAACCTCTTGGGCTTATGCGATTCTCTTGCCTCAGCCTCCCAAGTAGCTGGGACTACAGGCACCAGCCACAATTCCCAGCTATTTTTAGAGATGGGGGGGGGGTGTTGCTCTGGCTCAGGCTGGTCTTGAACTTGTGAGCTCAGAAAATCCACCTGCCTTGGCCTCCCAGAGTGCTAGGATCATAGGCATGAGCCACCGCACCCAGCCTGTTACATTTCTTTTTAAAAAACATGTCCATTTCTGAAAGGATCTATAAACAGAAATATCTGGTTAGAATATTGCTAAACTGTTAATCTTCTATTCACACAGACAGAATAAAAGTGGCAGCTACAGAATTAGGACTCTCATTAATGGTTAAGAACAAAGTAAGGTTTAAACTCACAGGAAAGACAAATAAACTGCTTGGGAGAGTCCAAGCAGAGAAGGTGGCATTTAAGTTAATCTTTAATATCAGGCAGGAATAAATGCATATTAAAGGGCAATAACTACAATAATGACAACTAACATTACTAAGCCTCATTGTTGACTACTTTTCACATATTTTATTAACTCACATTCATCTTCTCACATTGCTGTTCACCCTTAGGAAGAGTTTATTACACCAGTACAATGCCAAGTGTGATCTGCCAGCTGATGCCCATTACCCCTGATTAAAAACAATGAGATACACTGCCAGTTAGAGAAATTACTTAGAAACATAACAATTTGACAGACTAATTTTCTATTGTTAAACATTAAAAAATTGGGACTTTTGTTTTATATGTCTTTTTATTTCATTTTTAATGTATTTAAACAAAGGCTTTACTGAGTTGTAAACACACACACACACACACACACACACACAGCTGGTCTTTCCCCACTAAAACTTTGAGAAACACTGACCCCAAAGCACTAAAACAGCCAGAAAGTATGAAAGAAGTTAGTGGGGAGAGCTGGAAGGGAAGTTTAATAGTTCCCACCTGAAAGTGTACTCCTTAAGTTTTGTTTAATTCTCCTAATAACCCAGTGAGATTGTTGTATGATCTTTACTTTACAAAATAGTGCAGAAAATTCAGAAAGGCCCAAATGGAGTCAAGAATCAAACCAAGGTCTATCAGAATTCTCAGTTTTTCTAAAATCTTTATTCTGGATTAATTGTCATATTGGTGCCCCTCTGTTTTCTCCCAGTAACCATAGATCACAGCTAATTTGGGGACCAGAAGCAGCAGGTCTCATAGTCACAGATATGTGCTCAGAAGCCAGTGAACCCATCTTTCCCTCAGTTAGACAAAGGATTTGTCTTTTTACCCAGTGAAGCAAAGTCTGTCTCATGTGTCACAAGAAAGGTTAAAACAATAACAGCAAATCATTTCCCATTTCCTGTTCACATACACACACTCCCTTCTCTTCAGGCATTAA